TTAGTAGAGACGGGGTTTCACCATGTTGACCAGGATGGTCTCGATCTCTTGACCTTGTGATCCACCCGCCTCGGCCTCCCAAAGTGCTGGGATTACAGGCTTGAGCCACCGCGCCCGGCCCTGAAACTCTTTTTCTAGCTATACACTTGGCTTGTTCCTTCATCTCCTTCAGGTCTTGAATGTCATTCTCTCAAAAAAACCTTTCCTAACCACTTACTCAAAATTGCCTTCCCTAACCACTTATTCAAAATTGCAATTTCCGTCCTGCCATTCCTTCTAATTTATACTACATCATCTGTTGACATCATCTGTTGATTATTTTGTATAGTAATCACTTCCTTGCATTTTGTTTTATCACCCAAATGTATATCGCTAAATAGTATAGCCTTGCCTCTTAAAGAGATATATATATATGGGAGGGATATTTTGTTATTTTTACTGTGTTTGTTTGCTATTGTGCCTCTAAGGCCTAGAACTAGTCTCTAGTACCTGACACATAGCACTCAGTAAATACTTGTTGAATGAATGAGTATCTAGCATCTGTTTATTTATTTATTTATTGAGACATGGTCTGCTTTGTTGCCCAGGCTGCAGTGCAGTGGCATGATCTTGGCTCACTGGAACCTCTACTTCCCAGGTTCAAGTGATTCTCCTGCCTCAGCCTTCTGAATAGCTGGGATTACAGGCATGTGCCACCATGCCCAGCTAATTTTTGTATTTTTAGTAGAGACAGGGCTTCACCATGTTGTCCAGGCTGGTCTCAAATTCCTGACCTCAAGTAATCCACCCACTTCAACCTCCTAAAGTGCTGGGATTACAGCCTGAGCCACCACGTCTGGCCCAGCTTTTGTTTATTTTATCTGATATAGTTTATATCACTTTCTACATTAATGAACCTTCTAAAAGGAGGGTAAATGACCAGCTGCGTTCCTTGAGTTATGGCTTTTAAGTTTTGCAGGGACAGTGTGTTGTCATTGGGGGGAGTAGGGAAGCGCTTTCAGATTGTTGAAACTGGAAGTACTTTGGATAACATCTTAACCAACTCTTTTATTTTACAAATGTGGAAACTACAACCCAGGGAGGTTAAGTGACTTGTCAGAATCATTTTCTAGCTAGTGTTAAATGTTTTGTTTTGTTTTGTTTTGTTTTGTTTTGTTTGAGATGGAGTCTCACTCTCGCCCAGGCTGGAGTGTAGTGGCGTCATCTTGGCTTACTGCCACCTCCGCCTCCTGGGTTCAAGCAGTTCTCATGCCTCAGCTTCCTGAGTAGCTGGGCTTACAGGCACGAGCCAGCACACCTGGCTAATTTTTGTATTTTTAGTAGAGGTGGGGTTTCACCATGTTGGCCAGGCTGGTTTTGGACTTGTGACCTCGAGTGATCCACCCACCTTGGCCTCCCAAAGTGCTGGGATTACAGATTACAGGCGTGAGCTACTGCACCCAGCCTAAAGGGGTTTTAATTACCTAGTTCTGTAGGACTGGTTAGGAACATTAGTTTTTTTTTTTTTTTTAATTGCATTTTAGGTTTTGGGGTACATGTGAAGAACATGCAAGATTGTTGCATAGGTACACACATGGCAGTGTGGAGTTTTTTTTTTTTTTTCTTTTGTAACCACATAGACCTTTCCAAATAAAAGACTGTAGTTGCATATGAAATATTAGATCACAAGTACAGTAAGTAATATTTCTCTAACATGTGATCCATCTTGAAGGAGCTGCCTGTAATTGTGCTCCACTTCCTCAACATTCAGTGTTAACTGGGGTCCTATCCCAACTATATAACTTAGGTCATTCTTACAAAGGGCACCAAAGATGTTCATCTTTCCAAATCTGGTTGTCTATTCTCTGTCCTTCATTTGCTTGAAGTCTCAGCAGCCTTCAACTCAATTAACAGTTCTCCCCCTAAGTCATTTTTCTTTGGCTTTCCAGATGCATAGAAGTCTCCTCTGCCAGATCCTTCTCCTCTTGTCTGACCTTGGGATGACAGAATCTCCAGGGCTGAGTCATGGCCTTCTTAATTTCTCCATCTTATACCCTTTTTCTAGGTGAGCTCAGATTTGACCTGTTTTTCTGAGTTGCAGACTTGTTTATCTAATTGTCTAAGTGACATCCACTTGGATGTCTGATAGTTGTCCCAGATCTAACATTGGCCAAATCACTCTTTTTTTCCCCCAATTCACCCTTGATTTCTCCTTTAAAACCCCCTTCTCAGTTAAAGCTGGGCTCAAGCTAAAATTCTTGGGAGTCATTCTAGATATTTCTTTTTGTTCCTACTCCACATCTATTCCATCAGCTCTGTTAGTTCTTTCTTTAAAAAATAATCTGAATCGGCTGGGAGCAGTGGCTCACACCTGTAATCCCAGCACTTTGGGAGGCCAGTGTGGGTAGATCACAAGGTCAGGAGTTCAAGACCAGCCTGGCCAATATGGTGAGACTTCGTCTCTACTAATAATACAAAAATTAGCCAGGTATGGTGGCACGTGCCTGTAGTCTCAGCTACTCGGGAGACTGAGGGAGGAGAATCGCTTGAATCCGGGAGGTGGAGGTTGCAGTGAGCCAAGATCATGCTATTGCACTCCAGCCTGGGTGACAGAGGAAGACTCTGTTTCACAAAGAAAGAAAGAAAAAATCTGAATTGGGGGTGGGGTGGGGGAAGAGAAAGGAGAATATTAGGACAAATACCTAATGCATGTAGAGCTTAAAACCTAGATGACAGATTGATAGATGCAGCAAACCACAATGGCACTTGTATACCTTTGTAACAAACCTGCACGTTCAGCACATGTATCCCAGAAGTTAAAGTAAAAGAAAAAAAATAGACATTATTTGAAAAAAAAAAATGGTATGAATTGTCACTTTACACCCTGTCACCAGCCTAGGTTAAGCCATCAGTCTCACCTAGGCTACTTCAGTTGCCTTCTAACTAGTTTCCTGTTTCAATTGTTGCTCTGGTCCCTACCCACCCCATACTGTTCATTCACCACACTACAGCCATAGTGACCTTTTTAAAATATAAAATTATATTTCTCCAAAGTAGATATACAAATAGCCAATAAGCACATGAAATATTGCTCAGCCTCATTTGTCATTAGAGGAATGCAAATCAAAACCACAGTGAGATACCACCTCATACCCCATTAGGATGGCTGTAATGAAAGATAGACGGTTAGAAGTGTTGCTGAGAACTTGGGGAAATTGGAACCCTTGTGGTTCTGTTGGGAATGTAAAATGTTTCATCACTTTGGAAAACATTCTGGCAGTTACAACAAAAAGTGAACCTTAGAGTTACCATGCCATTTGGTGATCTGCTTTTAGGTGTATACCTAAGAGAATTGAAAATGTGTCCACACAAAAAACTTGTACAGGAATGATCATAGCTTTTTTTTTTTTTTTTTTGAGATGGAGTTTCA